TGTTGCTCACATCGGCACTTGATAGCATTTGACCATTTGTTTTCATTTTTTGTCATCTGCTTGAAGCTCCTGCTGCCTTTGCTGGGATCATTTACCTCATAGTCAGGCAGAAGTACTTTATTGGATATCTGGGTGAAACCTCTCAAAGGTAAAGGAACACAAGAGATTTACACTTTGTGTGTGTTTACAAATGGTCTAACAGTTTTTTAAAACTTCTGTGCAGCACTCCAGGCTACATGTTTGGAAAACGCATCATCTTCTTCCTGATTCTGATGTGCACTGTGGGCATCTTCAACTACCTGCTGCTGCGCTTCTATGGCAGTAATTATAAAGAATATGTAGAAATGATCACTAGCGCTGCAACTGCTCTTCTCCTCCTCCCTTAGGCCAGTCACATAATGACAACAACACGCACCCACATTTATCGTTTAACTGATGGCAACTATTGCTTTAAAACATGTCATTTATTGTATTGGAATTTGTTTAAAATAATTTCTAATACAGAAATGCTGTTTTTTTTATATAAAGGTCTTCACACATTTGAATCTGCAGTAGCACAGATTTGACCCCATAAACCCTCATACAGCAGTCATAAATTGTGTGAGGGAAATGTATGTTTGCTCATAAAAATGCCTTTAAAAATCAATTTAGACACATAAACATTTTACAAGTCATTCCAAATATGCTCATCAGTCCCAGTCAGTGATTTCCACCCACTGCACAGAGAAAATATCTGGATCTAACAGCAAACATAAGATAGTTAATGCAGTCCCAAGAGTCTGGCTGGTGCATCCTCTGACAGATAGGTTTAACAACCACTTGCCTGATTATCAGGAAACTTGCTTTTCTTGAGGACTCCACCAGAAACCAAGCAGATAAACTTCATTTTTCTTAGCTCCCACATTTGCTGCTGGCTCATGTCAGTAGCAACTTTAATGGTCAAAAGACCAATTAGAGATGTTCCTTCTGATAAATGTCAAAATGTACAAACTATTCATATGTAGTTAAACCGAATTTTAGACAACTACCTTAAACTTTCTTTTGCTGAAACCAAACCAGTGTGGGAAGTCAAAGAGGGCATCGGAATAGTATTTGAGGGTGAAGGAGGCATTTCTCCAGGCAGGGTTGACTTTTATTATCTTGTTAGTTATGATGTGGGTGTTTTCTGTTGCCCAGCCCTCCAGTGCTGCAGTCAAGTCAATCTGACAAAAGAAAAAGTAGTTTCAGTGCCAAAAAGCCAGACCACTTCTCAATCAACAAATCTGCAAACTAGAGCAACCCCTGGAATGCAAGTAGTGCTGCTTACGTCCACCCTGTAGCTCTCTCCAGCAACTGAAGAGATGGTCCAGTCCAGGCCTCTCTCAATCTGCCACTTTATGAACGGGTCATTGCCATTGATGGACACTACGTACTGCTTCAGCACTGAAACAGGATCGAAAATAATCCACTAGGACACCAGCACAGAAAACAGAAAGGGGAACATTTGCAGAAAACCATCTTGCCACATGACTCTTCTCATCCCACCCATTGCAAACGTCCCAAGTTTGGAAGTCAGAACGTGTCACCGCTGGCATCAAACTGCATGGTGAACTTACTTACTAACTTATCATAATAACATAGATGCTGTAAAGAGTTTCAGTTACCTCTGGCTTGATTGGCGGCCTTTTTGTGGGTCACTGAAAATTTTTCTTCACAGGCAGACATCAGCAGATAGATCCTCTTGGACAACAGGCTGTTTCTCATGCTCGTGTATTCCCATAAATTGTGCATTTTAACTTTCCTGTCATGGAAAACAATTGGCATGTGACTTTGTGCATATAAATAAAGGCTATGTGTGCATGTATAAGGCTGTGCCCATGCAGTCTTTTTCCTCACCTTCCCAGCGAGTTCTGGAAAACTATTTTCCTTCTACAAAAGTCGAAGTCATCAACGAGCACCAGGCTCTCCTCTGGGTCGCTGTGGACTCGGTAACATGAGCTGAGAGCCTCCACACAGAAACCTGTTGGAGGTTTTCTCAAAAACTCCTCTACTTCTGTCACTTTCATCCTGCTGTGAGACCCTTTATTTATTGTCATGGTGTCACGCTGTTCTCCAGTGCCTCTTCTGTGGCTGTGGGTTCTGTTGTTTTCTATTGCTTGAATAAAGTCTAAAGTCTATCGCTATAATGAGCTTCAACCACTGTCAAGTTAGATACATTTACAAAATCAGACTTCCGGTCTCCTTCAGCTAAAATAAAGCCCTTTAGTGGGAATGGCATGTAGCTTTGTTGGAGCGGAAATTATAATCGATCAATGGAAAATGAATCAGCAATTTTTAGTTAACCAGGTAATTGTTATTTACCAAACATGTGGTTTTGCTTGTTAAATAAAATAACAGATGATTCCAGCTTCTTGATTGTGAGGATTTGCTGCTTTTAAGTGATTTATATGATAGTAAATCAAAATAGATTTAATCACTAACATTGGTAATCAATAAATATTGTCAATCAGTTAACAGATAATTGTTTATCTATTTATCTAGTAATAACCCTTAGTTTGTGTAAGTGTAAGTGTTGCAAATAGAATAATTTTGTGTTTCAGACTGTTGGTTGGACAAAAAAGATATTGTGAAGACATCACCTAAGGATCTTTAATACTTTCAGTTGGCATTTTCCAATTTCGAATGTTTAATAGTTTAAATAATTAATTGAGGAATTTTAAAAAATGGCAACTCTTAGTTGCACTCCTACAGTGTTTCATCAACACAAAGTACAAAAGTAAGGATAAGACTATCCAATGTCTTTCTATTTCAAATGAAGCTGAAATCAAATGTAATTATGTTTTTTCAGATATTACATTATCCAGATGTAACAGATTATTGGGTGGCGTCTAAATAAAACATATATTTGTAATGTCTCAGATGTCTCCTACTAATGCTGTTCTTACCCCTAATATTAACAAGAATTTAGCTTTTTATTTTGAAGGCAAATGTATTTACTTGCTGTTTCATTATACATGACATGACTTATGGAGAATGACACAGCTCTTGCAAAGGTACTTCTTGTGACGCAACAGCCTGGCCGACTGAACAAAGCTCCTGTTAAAGCTAGTTGTTTCTTCCTACATATCCTACATATTTACACACATAAGGAAGTAGGTAGATCATAATTATAAATAATTTATTAATATGACAATAATTGAAGAAATTCAAACTAATTGCTGAATTGAATTCTACTGAAAGTTTAGGACTTAATGACTTTGGAACGTACAACTTTATGAGAAGCCACTTGAAGGCAGCATTTAGTCTTGGAAATAACAGCAGGCGGACTCCTGAACTCAAAAGGAAAATTGCAGCACCTAATCTGAAACACTGGTGAATTATGAGTCACCCGAGAGCCGTTATGGTGCAATCACAGCATTAATGTGCTGCATATTTGTGTTTAATATCAACAACGTATTTGATATGCAGGCTTTTCTGATCACATTTCAATGCTTTTTAATAAAACTACACATTTACTCAGACTGTTTCCCTCTGGGTGACTACATGAACTTACTATTGCTCTCTTCAGCACATTATGCACCATATAAAGTACAAACAGATTCATACCTCACATAATGATTGGGTTTTCTGGACACTTATAGCAGCCTTTTTCTTTGTACGTGTACAATTCCTTGATCCCTTCAAGCTGCAATAACAGAACTTTCTCATTTGGATTTAAGTTAATTTGCAACTGTGGGTTCACAGCAGATCTGGCCTGTTTCATTTTTGTGGCCTAGATGTCCATGTTTAGCTTTCATGGTCAAGAGACTGGTGAGTCATTTGTCCTGCACTCTCCTCCAGTCTGCAGGCCTACAGTAGAAAGCATGCTCTCAGTCTCTTTTCTGGATATCTCTTCCTCATATAGTGTAAAAAAAATATCAGTCCTGGGAACAAAAATGTATTATAGTTTGACCCATCGTGCATTGAGTGTGAGGCATAAATATAATATCACCAACACCTGTACAAGCCAAAGCAATACACTATCCACAAACACAACCTTTGTAGTGTAAAGAAAAGAACAATAACAAAAGTAGTGCCCCAAAATTGTACTATTGTACTATCATGGTTCACAACTGCTGAGACATAAATAAAACTGTCCCACAATTTTACAGCTTTTCAACTTTTTATTTCCTTTGAATTACAACAAAATCTTACAAAGTGTCACTATTCTGGTAGAAGAGATGATCCTGAGATATAGTCAAGTGTTATAGTTGCATTAATGTATTTTTAATGTAACAGATGTGTGTTTGAAAACGTGCCCTCAGGGTGGAGAAAAGTGGATTACCACATGCTACAAACATTAATTGCCCTCTCAGCCTGAATCTGTCCTCCTAAGCTACAGCAGGCCTTTGTCAGGGTAGTCACCTAATAATGCCTGGTCCGCTAGGGGTCGCTAAAGCGTCACATTAACAGCTGTGCTGTCACAGGAATGTGGTTAACCAGTTACTCCAGCTCGCCATGAAAACACAGTGACTTCAGTAGAAAAGCAGCAGCCAAGGGAATCGTGTAACACCATAATATGGTTAACGGATGCAAAGTGATTGTTCTGCTTCTCCTTTGGCTAGGTAAGTGGTGTAACGTTAAGTTCCTTTCCAAGGCAGCTAACTGGCTAACCCGCTAGACGCTAAGCAAGATGCACAAGATGCAATGATGAAATAGAGCGGAAGATGGTTCGATTCGGTTTTCAAAATAACGTTAGCAATATAATATAACAATACACAGAGAACAATTCAGTTTACAAAATTGTATCAGTAGCTGTCCTTTTAAAAGACATTACCTAGCTGAGATATTAATGAGTGTCATTTTGGGAGTTACTTTGCTACAAAATATTGGATTGTTTTATTTTGTAATTTCAAAAAGGAAATGGTAAGCACCGCGAGAGAGCGCGTAAACAATTATAGGCTAGACCAGGTGATCCTATGGGCTTCTCTAATCAGGTAGTTAAGCTCAGGCTGTGTTTTCTCGTCATCATTATGCTTTGACAGACAGCGAGGTATAAAAGGTGGCAAATGGTTGTGTTGCATAATTTGTGTTAATATAGTTTTATGTTATGCTAATGTTTAAAATGAAGACAGGTATCCTGACAGACATATTGGCTTATTAATGCACTTTAGTGAACCTTTATTCCCATTATTGATTGATGCATCATTTATTTTCCAGAGCTCAGGGTGACTTTTTCGATTATAACCAAAGATATTCTGTTTACAACTGTCAAAAATGTGTATGCTTGTCAAAATACTTACAATTTTAATAGGTTATCAAAGGTGCTGAAAATGAATTTCCTGCTAACTGACTACAAGATATAGCTACTCGCATCAGCTCCATGCTTTCTGATGATATTATGATAACACTGTTACTTCTCTGTCACCGCCTCCAGGTACATCTGCTGGAGACAAATATGCACTTAGTGCTAATGTAAGTGCTACACACAGACCCTTGCTATCATTATCCATTGCTCAGCAGTTTGTGTCAGACTTAACCAGAATTAACTGATTCCCCTGCAGGCAGCAGAGCACCAGGAGCACACTGCACACAGATCTGTTGGTAAGTGAAGGATTTCACCTCAGATTGTCTGATAGTTTGTCCAGAGTGCCACACACTAGGTGGCAAAGCAAATCAGACTTGACTGATTACATGCTGTGAGTGTGAATGAAAAGCTCAACCCAGAAGCCAAAATCTTTAAGATTGTAAATTACAATAAATGTTTCTAATGTGAAAAGGAATAGTTTGACAATAGCCGGACATTTTGGGTTAGAGTTGGCATAGCTAAATGTAAGTACTGAAAGAAAATAACTAGCTTGGCTCATTGCATAGGTAACAAAATCCACCTATTATCACCTCTAAAGCTCATTAATGAATACTTTTTACCTTTTTTAACTGATTAAAAATCAAACTGTAAAAACAAGCTGTAATTTTACAAGTTGTTATGCACAGGGTTGCTTTTTGGCCAGGAGCAGTGACTTTGTGATTAGATTTAAAAGAGGAGATGCAGTATTATCTTAGTCTGTGAAACCGCTGACATGCAAGTGCAAAAATAAAATTTATCAATGGATTCCTGTGGGTTTCTATCACTTCTCCCTGTCTTTTTGCCTCCCCGTGTCTCATTGCTTTGCCTAATTTGTCACCCCCATGCTTTTTCTTTGTGTGCTTTTTTCAGGATTGGAGGAGGTGGTGTTAGTAATCCAGAGTCAGAGAAACTCCTATCACGCACGTCGTGGTGTCCAGAGGAAGATGGAGATTCTGCACCAGGCAGCTGAACTTGGACAGGTAACACCTGGCAGACACTGGGTGGCTTAATGGTTAGCACTGTTGTCTCATATGCCATTTGTGTGTCCTCACATGCCATGATACAGTAGGTAGGTGTCCTGTCTGTTGACAGGATTAGAGTGGGAAAATTAACTCCAGCAAAATTATAGAAATATAAAAAAGAGCATATGGATGCAGGGATGTAGCCACCTTTCACTATAACAGATTGAGCTTTAATAATCTGCAAACTAATACACAGTATATAGATTAAATTTTTCACTGCATTTACCACTTGGGTCACAAAAGTATTTTCAACATATTAAAGATGAAGCCCTGCTGACTGTTTTTAGAAGTCTCACTTGTTTTTACCATACATTCAACAGACATGGTAGTTTAAGATAAAATAGGTTTTTGGCTTATGGCTTTGGGGATGTCCAGTCAATCAGTCAACCTCTTTGGTCCAGACTGAAATATCTCAAAGTTTGTGCACAGTGGTGGAAAAAAGTACTCAGATCCCTTCCTTAAGTAAAAGTAGCAATACTGTTACAAGGAAGCGTCCTGCATGAGAAATGTAACTTAAGTAAAAGTACAAAGTTTTAGCATTAAAACAAAGTACTAAAAGTAAAAGTACTCATTATGCAGAATACCATTTAACATTGCATATCAATTATTGGATTTTAATTACTGATGCATTATTATGTACATCACATTTAATGATGGAGCTGGTAAAGAGCAAGCTAGTTTTAAGCAGCTTATAATTTTAATTTTGTCTGTCTGCTATACACACTGTCCGCAGTGTGGTGTGTTGCATAATGATGCTACAAGCTTTACATGCTGTATTTTGAATGTGTGTCAGTGACTTCTGGGGTTTGACTCCATGCATTGCTGTGGTATTACACTTGTACCAGTAGGTGTCCCCGTTGCCACAGAACTCCCCTGCCTCTGCTGAGAAGACCCAGTCTCTTTGCTCTCACAGTATTTTATTGATATGCGTCTGTGAAAACTCTTGTTAATTTTCTGTTGATGCCAAACGGATACTCAGAACAGTCTTGAGCATTGGTCTTTGATTCTTTCTCCAAGCTTGTTTGCAGTTCAGAAAAACCACCTCAAATAGAAATAATGGCATATGGCACTCAGCAGGGACTCTGTGAAATGACTTTTACAAGCAAACTAACAGCAATCAAAAAATGAGTGACTGTGGTGAAGAACAGAAGCTACTTAAAACACTTATTTTCTCTGACATATGAAAATGTCAGCTATGGGACAGATTTCAGATATGATTTGGTCATGGCAGAGTATGTAGTTTTATGGTCGCAATAATGTGGGCAGCACATACACAATATGTGAAACATCACACCACTAGTTGAGACAGATCAGCAAATCTGTTCATATGCCTGGGAAAGTTGTGAGTCAGCCACTAAGACCAATAGAGACCAACCATCTAATTTGACTTTGTGAAGCTTTGTTTGCCATAATGACTTTGGAGTTTGCTAATTGTTTTGTCCAGTGATACTTAGGTTGTGCCTCAACTTCCATCCATCCATCCATCTTCGTCCACTTTATCCGAAACCGAGTCGCGGGGGCAGTAGTCCGAGCAGAGCCTCCCAGACTTCCCTCTCCCCACACACCTCCTCTAGCTCCTCAGGAGGAACCCCAAGGCATTCCCAGGCCAGCCGGGAGACAGTCTCTCCAACGTGTCCTGGGTCTGCCCTGAGACCTTCTCCAGGAGGGACATGCCCGGAATACCTCCCCAGGGAGGCGTCCAGGGGGCATCCTTAACAGGTGCCCAAGCCACCTCAACTGGTTCTACTCAACGTGGAGGACCAGCGGCTCTACTCCAAACTCCTCACGCGTGACTGG